GATCAAAATTAATCAAGTCTTCTTATTTAGTCAAAATTAAATACAAGTAGGACTTTTTGTAATGTGTTTCTCTTTTTATTTTTTCAACTTTGTTCAAATATTATTATAGTAAACAAGTTCGATAAAAACCAGTTAATAAAGTAACGAGTCTTTGCAAAATTATGTATAAAAAAACTATAGTTATTTTCAAAAATAAAAAATATTAATTAAAAAGATTTTAGTTTTTATTAATTGAAAACTATATTATATATATAATCAGTGACCACTTTATGGTCACTAAATGTTTTTTTTTTTTTTTTTTTTTTTGTAATTCATGAGTGACTACTATTGAGTGGTAACTAATTGTTTTTCCATATTTAAAGAGTATGCGTGAAGTGTTGAACAAGAGTAGTCAGTGACCACTATTTTTGATCACTAAGCCTTCAATACAATGACCACTTTTTTTGTCACTAAACTTCTAACATATTGACCATTAGTCTTAGCCACTATATAGTTAACATAGTGATCATTGTTTTTAGTCACTAAATAGTTGTTATGATATGAAACAAAAGCAGTTTAATTTTTTTGCATTATAGTGACTGAGTTAGTGACCACCACATATAATTCGTCATTAAATTTGTAGGATTATCAAAATTCAGTGACCACTTATTTCTAGTGACTAAAAGATGCTTTCAGTGATCAAATTTTAAATGGTCATTAAAAATTAGTCACTAATAAGGATTTTTCTTGTAGTGGTTTTTGAATAAAACAAACATAAATAATGTGGAAAATTTAAGGAATTATGAGACTTGGAGGCTTAAACAGAGGATGTTGGGGATCAAATAAGGGCCACCCGTTTTTGATTACTTGTTTCTAGCTTCATCCAATCGACATTGATTTTTTAGGAGATGTATTCCGTAATTTAGATCGATTTTCTCTACTTTTATAATCATTCAAATGAAAGATTAGTCTTCAATACACTTTCACCCGAAAGACTCTCGAAACAAGACAGAGAAAAAAAATCATTATTGTTTATCCAACATCTTCCCAGATTGTGCAAATGAATAAGAACATCTACACAGACGGAAATTATAGTCGGCCTTTGACAAAATATAATTCCAATGCCTTTTTTTGTCAAAAAGATTATGTGGGACCTTTTAACTATACACAAAGAATAACGTACTTCGGTTTGTGTAAAACAATCTATAAAAACAGTTTTTCAGAGTCTTATATGTTTCAACATGTTCTTAAGGAAAAAGTCGCTTAACATATCTACATGATTTTCAAAGAAATTTTTTAAAATCGTGCTTACAAATGAAAACCAAATCACCTTAAATTGAGGGCAACACTTCAAAACTACTACATTCTCCAAAATGTCTAGTTCAAAAATAACATCCAGAATGGTACCTTCAAAAATTCTATTATCTTTTAAAATTACTGGTCATGTGTAGTTATATTTTGAAATGGTGTTATTATTTGAGAGGAGTTTTTTATAGGCTCATTATGTCAATATCCCTTAGTATTCTTTAAAAACTTTGTAAACTAAAAGTAGGGATATGGATTAAAACAATCGTAATCAAATGTTAATTTATTTTTTAAAGCGCCAAATCATCTGGAATATGGTATTTCAAACACAAATTTATCTTACCTGATCGGAGCATTCTAACATAAGGTGGAGCATTCTGATGAAGAATTTTGAAGGAACATTCTGGAGTATCAAAATACGCTAGAGTATAGCCAAAATGCGCTAGGGCATTGTCGGAATACACTAGGCACTTACATGAATGCGTTATAACCTTCTTTGAAGGCGTTATCCGCAGGTGAATCCACTATTATGTTAAGCATAAAGAAAACAATGTTGTTGATTATGCTCAAGGAGAATACGCTAAATACGTTGAAGACGCCCCTATTTGCGTAGGGTACGCTCTTAGTGGAAGCGTTGGTATTGGAGAATATGCTCTAGGAGTATAAATATGATGGTTCCTCTAGAAGATGCTCTCTTGGACTAAAGGTGCTTTCTTGATGTAAAGGTGTTCTCTTGGAATAAAACTACGACTTGGTTCTAAATATGTTCATGGTGATAAGGTGGCTTTTGCAATGAGCAAGGTTAGTCGATATCTTGGGAACTTGGGTAAAGCTCATTGGACAACACTTAATAACATTCTTAATTACCTACGAGGGACTACAGACTGGTTCCTTATACTTAGTGGGAGTGATGACTTGACAGTGATATGGTATAGTGACGCCAACTTTCAGACCGACAAAGATAACTTCTAATCTTAATCGGGCTGGGTATTTACCCTAAATAGAGGAGCAGTTCCATGGAAAAGTTCCTAGTAGGAGACTGTGGCTGATTCAACATGCAAATCGGAGTACATAGCAGCAAGCGAAGCGTTGAAGGAGGAAATATGATTGAAGAACTTCATTGGAGACCTTCGAGTTGTATCAGTCATAAAGGAGCCTTTGGATATTTTCTGTGATAACGAAGGAGTGGTTGCCTTAACCAAGGAACCAAGGGATCATGCTAGATCTAGACACATCGACATAAAATACCACTTTGACTCCTTGTTGTAAGGAGGGTATCATCATAGGAGAATCCAGCATATCCCCTCACAAAGAGTCTGAGCAGGGTTGAGCAATTACAACATGAGGAGCATTGGTCTGAAGGATGATATTAGTTTTAGTGTTTAGATAGTTAAAAACTTGTAACAATTTAAATGTAATTGACATTTGATGATTAAGTAATGAAAGATTTATTTATGTTTAAAGTTTACTATATGTTCTCAATTTTTATTTTATGTTTCATTATGCATGTTTTACTTCCTGAATAATAGGATTATTCAAATTATCCACAGTCGATCATACTTTGGAAGTAAGTAATTAGGCTAGACTGTCATGAATTGGTTTTTAGATTATCTAAGTGCTAAGACATAGTAAAGGTTTGATGCAATGTTCACGAGTACATCTGAAATAAGATTTGAGTATTGGATTAAACCCACGCTGATTTGAATCACTTCATGGAATTTATCATGAATGATCGTGAGACGATAATATCGTATAATCTTTAAAATAGGATATATGATTTGTTGGTTCTGAGTTGTTTGTGCATTGATAATGTGTAAGCGCATCAGTAACTTGATGTTATAAAATGTTTTGTTTTGTGCAATTTGATGAGTGAATAGTAAAAGCATATAAGACAAAGTTTATCTGTTCCTTTTATCCTAAGAGGGTAAAAGCAATATCTTGGGCCCCTCGATGATTTTGTGTTGACTTATGTGTCAGGCCCAGTTAGGACTAAATTGATGTGTTCAACTAAGCTCTGTGTTAAACAAATCAGAAGTCGGGAAGCAAATATTTGGACATTGAGAATAATTATGTTCCATGTCTTTTTCAACACGATATCTTGCAGAACGGAGGATTATATGATCCCATATCTAAAGAACGAGTCATTGACTAGGTCAGGGTTCAACATCGACTTTTGAGAGCTACGACTGCTAATCGGATTTTGAAGTCATACTTGCAGTCATAGTTATTATACTTATCCAAGTGGGAGACTGTTTGATTAAGTGTCTAATCCCATACCTATAATTGGTATGTACTTCATTTGATTATAGCATGGTCCTTTTAGGTTGCCTTCACCATAGCAACTTGACAGGATGATTTTTGGAGTAAAAGGTTATTTAATGGTTTATTTATATATTATAAGAATAATATATTAATTGAGAAATCTTATTACTTAATTTGTATTGATTATTAATTAATTTGGAATTAATTTAGTGATCAAAGGAACTGATTAAAAGTAAGGGGACGGTTTTTGCAAATCATTGTTAGTTACAAAATGGCATATCGGATCACCTTGGAAGGGTTGGACGAAATCTATGGGAAGCCCATATAAGATTTCATACAGGAGGCCTTCTGGAATGTTTACATGGACTACTTAAGGCTTAAGCAGTCAGATTAGGGTTTCTACCTAAAACCTTAGCAGCCACAAGTATATAAAGACCTCTTAGCCTCTAGAAATCTGCCACTTGATTCCTAAGAGAAACCCTAACCAATTTTATACACCTTCTCCCTCATTCTTTGTTTGTGGTGTTTGTGTCTCTACTAGAGGTGCAACACTTGGGCACTAGGATTTCGAACGTTAAGGAATTGAAGTGAGGCTTACTTGTTACTACTAGCTAACAAGTAAGGTATTCTCCTAAATCCTAATATGTATCGATTTTGGTTTTGTATTCTAGATCTAGGGTTCTTTCTTGGGAAAATTAATTTGTATGTATAACTTGAGAAAACCTAGATCTAAGGTAAATAGGGTTCCATGTGCACATAGGAATGTTGTAATGCTAAAAAACCATCAGTTCTCCAACTGGCTTGAGAGTTCTCATGTTTGGTGTTTGTGTTCGTAGGTGTTGAAGTTGGGATTTCCCTAGAGATGGCCATGGACGGTCACTATCGGGGTAAGCTTCCCGTAATCGAAAAACATATGTGGGAGCTCATAGGATTGCTCTCAATAGAAGGGGGAAATACTAATTCTAGTGGACCTACATCACCTTCCCAACTGGTTTTTGGGGTCGTTTCCTTAGTTCAATTTCCGGCTTACGCTTCTCCCGAGTTTCTTGTGGGGATGGAAGCGGGGAAAGGTAGTACCCCCGTTTGGATGCACAAGACGGTGTCTATTCCCTAACTTCTTGGGGGGTATTGGGGATGTTCTTGGTGTTAAATTTGTTGGGTCTGGGCAGAAAAAAGATAGTGGTGGTGCCAATTCTGTAAAAGCATCACCTTCGCGGCTTACTAGCTTGTTCTCAGTTGATCCTGGTTCCAACTCCGTGCTTGGAGGTGGAGTCGGCACATCAAAACATTCTTCCCCATTGGACAAGCCTTCCATGGTTGATGAAATGTGAATTGCATCTCACCCCTTGGCTTTCGAGGCTTATGGTCCAGGCTGGGCAATTAGTAAGGATTCTTTACTGTCGGAAGATATCGTCACTCGGGAGTAGATTAGTTGAGCTCATTCACCGGCCACGATGAAGTTGCTTTTGGGCCAATCAGGCACTTGTATGGCCGATGATCTTTGGTATTTCGTTGCTCAAGCTTTTGCCCTTATGGTTGCTGTCGCTAACTGGGTTTGCCGATCTGGCATAAAGGAAGCATTGTTAAAAACATTGCCATATGTCGCTGCAAGCTTAAGGGAGGAACTATGTGATTCAGAGGAAAAGAGTTGAGTCATGTCCGAGAAAAACTACATTGTGGCCTACGGGAAGGTCACATTGGAATATCATGTGGCCACTTTGGAAGGCCAGATAGAGAGACTCGAAAATCAAGTGACTTCTCTCACTCAGGAGAAGGGTGTTCTTGCGAGTAAGTCGGTTAGTTTTCAACATCAACTGGCTCGTGCCCTGGTTGATGGTGTTGTTAGCTTGGGCAGTCTGCAGTGGATGCTAGAAAAAAGGGGTGGTTTGAGTGATGGATAAGGTTATCGAGAGCACAGAATTTTCTAGCGGGATTCAAGGTGTTCAAAAGGCGTGTGAGGTCCTTGGGGTTGAAAAGGGGAAATAGTTATTTGGTCATTCCACAAGTTCTAGTGAACCTGAAGCCCTAGACCCTGGCTTTGTCTCGAGAAGAACTGCAAATGTGGATATTGCTATTTCATCCCTTGCTGAGATGGATTTTGTGGGTGAATTCTGTCTGGGGCTGCTGGATTATGACAGCTTCCACCAATTTTGCCTTAGGCTGGGTCCAGGCAGCTGTTACTCGAACTCTGAGGACTGGTTTTTTTTTTATCCCTTCTGTTCATTCTGTAATGAATTTGCATTTCCCTGTATTATGTGTATAGTGAAAAACACTGGTTGTTAATGACCAATAACTGTGTATATTGCTTTGTGCTTGGTATGGAAATACTATATTGTGAATTAACTTATAATATCTTTTAGCTAGGGTTATTTGACATTCCTATTGTAATTCTTTTCTACACACTCCCTTGTTCTAGGGTTCCCATTGATCAGATAGTGTGCGTTTCATACGTTGTATAATCAGCTACTATTGACATATATTTTGTGACAATCGTCAATCTTGAGTCAAGTCAAGTCATCAAGTCAAGCCGGTCAACTCTATTAAACCTTGTGTATTAGGGTTAGTGTTATGTTCGTATTGTATAACCTGCTATGTTAATGGGAAAACATCACAGGAGAGAAGTTGAGTATTTATTTCCAAAAATGCGAAACTCTTCTGCAATTTCATCATTTTATGACCCCATTTGCGAAGTTGAGTATTTATTTCCAAAAATGCGAAACTCTTCTGCAATTTCATCATTTTATGACCCCATTTGCGAAGTTGAGTATTTATTTCCAAAAAAAAAAAAAATGCGAAACTCCAGGGACAATATTTGAGATCTTCTGTTTTCTTCCCCAATTCGCATTCTACTGTGAAATACTTCGCATCCCTTCGCATTAATCACTTTCGCATCTTCATTCTTACACCCTTCGCATCCCTTCGCATTAATCACTTTCGCATCTTCATTCTTACACCCTTCGCATCCCTTCGCATTTTAACCTAATCAATCAAATGCGATTCACAAAATTTTCATTCCAGATGCGAATACAGTTTAGTTCTTGAACTCTAAACTTGCGAAATCAAAAATTCATATGTTGAACCCATATGCGAATATTAACCCAATTGACTTCAAGTTGATTCATAGATGCGAACACTCGATTGTTTTACTTTCGCAAAATGAGCATCAACAACTCCACAATCGAGTTTTTAAATTCTTGCAAACAACAATTTCATAGTCCTTGACTTCGCGTTTTTCTTCACGAATCATCCCTCAATCATCAATCCAATTGCGAATCAAAACTCATATGTTCTAGCTTTATCAATTCATCGACTACACTCATACAAATGCGAACAATACTCTCAAAATCGATTGAAACTTATAGCAAAGCTAAATCCAACTTCGCATTCAAAGCAGTGTTATTGATCCGCAGTCACAAGCAACCGCCCCACACCCACTCTCTGACCAGCCATGCCTCCCCACCTTACCTAGGTCACATCAACGTCTTTTCCCACTCAATTAACCCTCTTCCCGAGTTTTTGAGGACTGATTATTCATCCTCTCTCCTCATTTCCCTCATTTTGCTCTCATTTCACAAGAAGATCAAACTCTTTCCTCTCTCACTTTCTCTCTCTAGAAATTCGAGATTCAAGGGCTGATCTTGAGTTTTTCCTCCACATTTGGTAAGCATAATCCATTCTCTTTATGATTATCTCATTTATTTCCACTCAAATCATGGATATCTTAGACAAACTCTCTCATAATTGTGTTAGAGCTTCGAATCTTCAAGTGATTCTTCAAGTGTTCTTGGGTTGAACACTTTCCTTCTTCAACACGTATCTACTGAAATCACTCAAGGTGAGTTCATACCCCTACATTTTCATGTTTTCTCAAGTTTTCAGGGGGGAATACAAGTTAAAACACTAAGAATATAACTAGATTTTTTTTCTAACAGCCTTCATCAGAAAAGTTCAACTCCATTCACGGACTGTTTTGGGCATCTTAAACATTTTTGTTTTCAAAACTGTACAAGGTGAAAATAGTTCGAGTTTTTAGCTTTAAAATGGCTACTTGCACATCTCCATACGATTTTTCTACAATTTATGGTGATTTTTACAAAACTGCCTATCATTTCAAATAACAATCCGGACCAGTCTGTGATTTTGGACTTTTTCACCCAAGTTAGAGGTCATTATAAATTGAGATAAAATTTATGAGCAAACTAGACACATTTTGTGAACTCTCAAAATTTACGGATCTAGTTTTCGACTTCGTATGATTTTTCTATGATTTTTCCAAATACAGGGCAGAATGGCTAAAGTTAGCCAACAGCATGTAAATATCATAACACTTTGTATTATGTTGAGCAAAGTGTATAATCATAAGTTCTAATATTTGAATGTGTTTCCATGTTAGTTTATCATTATGAACTGAAAATTAAGACATTCATATTAAATATTAAATATTACTCATTCATTTTGGAACACGTGTTATTAGACTATAAGAGGTATAGTTTGATAAATTCACAACACTAGTTACATTTCCATAAAAAGGGTTCATACATAGTACATACATTTTTGATAAACTATAATAGGTATAGTTTATGATACGTCACTCTACGCACTCGTACAAGAAGGGTACATTCATACAAGAAATATTTATATTCACACACAATTAACGTAAACTTGTTATCCTATATCGTGAGTTTCTCTATTTTTCGATCTCTATCTCTCTATCTCCCTGTACGTCCGAGTGCGGGATATAATTCCTGGAAGTTATAATCAGAATCTCCTTGAGGGAGAACGTGATACTTGTATATAGATCTATATTGGGTTTGACACCCCACACCTTGCTGCTAGCTACAGTGGGACCTGCAGGTCTACGGGTGACAAATGTCATTTCATTTTCGCGACGCCTGAGAAACGTTGTGGCAGGTTCACATAGTCACAGTATGATTATAGCGACTCACTTAGGGAGACAACAATCCATAAGTTTACGGGATTTTATTTTTAAAACCTAAATGAGTTTTATGTCGATTTAAAATCACTTTTTATCTCTATTAGTACAGATATTACTGTACACTTTTGGTTTTGGTAGTTACGACTACACATCATTTGAAACCACATTTATACTTTTAAGTATGGTCAATACTTGTTATTTCTCGGTCCTCTAATTTAGGACTACATATATATAAAGTATTAACGAACATGAGAACATTCAGAAATTTCATTTAATTCAAACGCGTCCATGTCCATTTAAGTACATAACATTTTCTATTAATAAGAAAGGTTACTTATACATTTTGGTCTTCAGTCATAAGACTACATTACGCAGATTTTAAAGAAAATATCGGATTTTTTTTTTTTTCTGAAACAACGCGGCATTTACATGAGAAAGACTTCTAATAAGATTATCAATAAAAGCTTATGAACTCACCAACCCTTGTGTTGACACTTTTCAAACAACTTGTATTCACAGGAAAACATTAATCGGGTTACTAAGTGCTTTTGAGGATGGGACGATGAGGCGTCAAACTTTTCACATTTTGACAACATATTGTAATTGATTTTGAAACATGTAATTCATACAAGTGATGTAACTTCTCAATTATATATATGTTGGTTGTGTTTGCTTGAATTACTATTGAAATTGTGGTTATGATGCTATACATGAAGTCCTCCACCCCCGAACGTTTCCGCCATCCTTGGTTTGGGGGTGTGACAATGGATTAGCATGAACATTACCACATCAAAAACAAGTTTGTAAGTTCAAAAACAACTTAGGGTAATGTTCCTAGTCCATTTCTCGCCAAAAACCTCGAAGATATGCTGTCTGGGGTCCAACTCGTCAAGTGCATGAACAAAACTCGGCGAGTTGGATGCATTTTGCCTTGGCCTCGTCGAGTCCCTTCATGGACTCGGCGAGTCTGCTGGGCTGACAGCACTAATTTCGATTTTTCAGCTTCTATTGCAAGTATAACAAGAAAACAAGCCTAGGCTCTGATACCAATGTTGGGTTATGAGCATTCTAACACTCCTAAGTGTACATGCAACCCTAAATACCTTGGATCTATGTTTTCTCTATTATACATGCAAATATGAACATCCAAGGTATTATCCTAATCTAGCATACAAAACTATCAACATAACAAGATAGAATACATACCTCTTTGATGTAGAATGTCTTCATGAAGCTTGAGTGCCTAGTGCCCCAAGTGTGACACCTCAAATGGTTCACACAACACCAAATACACTTGGAATAACTTGAGAGAATTCTACACTTCATGAAATCGGCTAGCCCTTTCTTACTCTCACTAGTGGCCGATTTTGATCAAGAATAAGATGTTTATATAGTTATACAATTAGGGTAAACCCTAATTGTCATGACTTTCCATTTCCTTGGATCCATGGGTTCAAATACACCATGGAGCATCCATGGAGCATCATATGGGTTTTGGCCCAACTAGATAATCCATGGAGCATTAGCCCACTATACAAGTATGGATGATTTACACAATCAACCCATATATTTAATTAGTCTTCTTTTGATCACTTAATTAATCCTAGATTAATTGTTGATCAATACTAATTAAATAATATATTAATATACTAGAACTTATAGTATATTAATAACCATAAGTGTCTTATTTCTCTCATTATAGTCTATCCAAGTGCATGATGCCATGCAACCCAAATGGACCATGCCGGGTCGGGTCAAGTCTTACCAATTATAGTTATGGACTTAGACATTAATCCAACAGTATCTGGATCTTAAAAAGCTATACTGGTGGCCTAATATGAAAGTAGAGGTTGCTACCTTCGTAAGTAAATGCCTTACTTGCGCAAAGGTAAAGGTCGAGTACCATAAGCCCTCGGGTTTATTGCAACAACCAGAGATTCCAGAATGGAAGTGGGAGCGGATCAC